GACACTTCTACGATACACATTGGCAGAACAGGCTGCAGGTAAGTGAGTCAGGGACTCGACAACATTATATCAAATAACCAGGTTACCATCGATCTGGGAAGAGATCAATGCAGACGAAACTAATGAAAGATAGTGAAGTAAAGCTAGTTACCAAAGAGAAGAAACAAAGGGAATGAAGGGCTAACCACTTCAAAAAATCTTCAGCCGACAACCACCTGCAACTCGTCCAGAAATACCACCAGCAACGGCAGAACTACCAGTGAACACAAACCCTCCGACAAAAGCAGAATTCCGGAATGCCATAAAACTGCTGAAATGTGGGAAAGCAGCAGGACCAGATGGAATTCATCCAGAAGCACTGAGAACAGATGCAGAGACAACAGAGGATATGCTCGCACCACTGCTGCAGAAAGATGGGAAGAAAGGAAGGAAAGGTACCTGCTGATCGATTGGAAGAAGGTCTACCTTGACAAACTTCCAAAGAAGGAAGACCTAAGCCTTTGCAAGAGCTGGCGAGGAATCATGCTGCATTATGACGCATCATCCTGGAGAGACTAAAGGATACGTTGGATTCGAAATTACGACCGTAACAGGCTGTCTGTATTCAGGAAGTACAAATCATATGCTGATCAAATTGCAGCGCTATGCTATGCATCATCATAGAACAGAGCGTAGAATGGCAGTCAACCTGCTACCTCAACTCCATCGACTTTGAAAAGGCCTTTGACAGAGTCGAACGAGAAGTAATTTGGCAGTTGCTTCAACACTACAGAGTGCCACTAGTCTTTATCAACCTAATTCAACAACTATATTAAAATCCCACATGCCAAGTTATCCACAATGCCAAGCTCAGTGACGCCTTTGAAGTGAAGACAGGAGTAAGACGAGGCTGTCTAGTATCACCCATAATCTTCGTGACTGTGGTCGACTGGATCATGTAGCAAACTGTGAGGAGCGAGAAGATGGGCATATGCTGGCTGGACCGACGAAAAGAGCCTACACGATTTGGATTTTGCCAATGATGATTTATGTTCAATGTCTTGTAGCAAATACTAGAAGATCTACAGGCAAAAACTAACAAGTTGACAGAAGAAGTAGCGAAAACGAGACTTCAAGTGAACGTAGAGAAGACAAAGGTGATGAAGATATCCAACCAACAGCAACAAGCATCGATCACCACGAACGGGAGAAACCTAAAGGAAGTAGTTTGTTTCACCTACCTAAGCAGCATCGTTTCAACTACATGTGGCGGCGTCACAGACGAGGATGTCAAAACCAGGATCAAAAAGACAGCAAGATAGGCTTTCACTAATCTGAAACCAGCGTGGAGATCTACTGCACTCAGCACAAAGAACAAGATCCGGATTTTCAACACCACTGTCAGTCAGTGCTTCTATACGGTTCAGAAACTTGGTGCATTGCGAAAAGCACTTCCAACAAACTACAGACATACATCATCAACAGCCGCCTACGCTCACTTGATACTGAAGATCATATCACATGACCAGAAAGAATAAGCAACAAGGAACTCTGGCCTGACAAAGAACCAACCAAGAACCTATCGCCCAACAAATATGCAAAAGAAAGTGGAGACGGACTGGGCATACACTGAGAAGGCCTGTTGGGGGCACCACGCGCCAGGCCAAGCCGTCGTGTAGAAACCGCATGGAAAACGACGAGTTGGTCGATGGTGTCCGAGGGTGACATGGAGGAGATCATGTGATGAAGAAATGAAAGCTTGTGGGCAGTGGTGAAGCCAGGTTCAAAAGACTGCAGAGAAGAGAGTGCAACAGAGGCGTGCTACTGAATTTCTGTTGCACTAGGAACCCAAGGGAAAAATAATAAAATAATAATAATAATAACAGGTTTGTCTGATTGAAAGCCTACTTTTTGAATGCCATCTTCAATAATATGTTTGCACGTAATCTAAATCGTGGAGAATATTTGTAGCTCATGTGGATGGTCTTGGTTGTATTGCGTTCTTTGAGCTGGGTTATTTAATTATGGGGCATTCATCGTCTTTCTAGACGACATCATCAGCACTAACTTCGGTATGAACTGAGCTGTCAATATCTCTCCATCAGCGGTTTAGTAGCTTGCCCTGACGAACTGGTTTGTATGTGATTGGTTGTTTCCTTTGGTTTTCTTGTCATTGATTGTATAGATTTTCCTGTTGGCTGTTCCTCTTCTTGACCTCTGACCTTTCCGTCATTTATCATTTTTCTCATTGGTTGGTAGATTGGGTCTATGTCTATACATCTGTTGATTGCTGACTGACATGAATGCCAAGCTTCTAGGAATTCTCTGATATTCTTTGTGTTTCCTCTCTCCGTCCAAGATTTCTACATTGTCAAAATTGAATTCATTTCCATAATTATCCACGTGCATTGAAATGATTGATGAGATGTCGTGACGTTTAATAGCCAATTGGTGTTCATTTACACGAAGGCAGACAGAGAGCTACCCCTTCGTCCAATGTGGTGCTGGCTACAGTTATTGCGGTTGATTTGTAAATGATATTCGGTTTGTCTTTGGTTGTTGCATCCCTTGATCTGCATAATAGGGTTTCGAGGGAATTTGTTGGTTTATGAGCCACACCAATTCCAAGTGGTTTCAGTAATTTTGTTGTGATTTCTGATAGATTCTTTATGTGCTGTAGGATGATGCGTTCGTTGATTTCTGTGTATGACTTTGTAGTTGATGATGTGTGAGATAGGCATCTTCTGATGAAGTTTCGTGGTAGCCGCTCTTTAGGACAGATATCATGCTGCTGATCTCGTCTAGAAAGACGATGAGAGCTCCACGATTAAACAACCCATCTCAGAGAACACAATACTACCAAATAATCTAAAATTCTTGAGAACAGCCTGTCTTCTGAATTCCTATATTTGGGTTTCTTCTTACACTGTATGAATTCTCTAAACGTCTTGAAATACTATATATATAGGGGATATTGTGTTTGTATTCCTATTTATACATCCAGTTTATACTACTTGTTATTATTGAGTAGTATAGTTCGTTTTTTCATTACAATCTTACTTCATCCATAGATTTGATTGATCATTATGCTCAGTCGTATCTTGTCCACCAATCAAAATCTATAGGTATCAGTATCTTTCACATTTCATGATGGTGTTGTTATTCCTTTCGTTGCTCCTTGCGTCTTTACCCTATAGTGAGAACCTACGCGCGTCTTTTGTTTTCCCTTCTTGTCGCTTGGGCACAGGCTTGGTGTTTTTATCCTGTTGACGCACTATTTGTAAAGTGATTTGAAAGCGATAAACCTGGAGAAACCTCACAATTCGAGGTTTGTATTTTAATACTGAACATTGTCTATTGATATAGGACCCCATTTCAGACAAATAATGTTTCCGATTTTACGCGTAACTCGAGAGTTTGGTTTATTGTTGAGAAGTTACTTGTTCTCTCTGGTTCTGGATTTCTTGGGTAGAAATATATATATATATATATATATATATATATATATATATATATATATATATATATATATATATATATATATATAACCATCATTCTAAGATGATAAACTTGTGTCTGTGGATGATGTCAGTTTGGTGAATTCCAGATTGAAGATGTTCGGCTGGTGAGTGACACAGTCAATTCACAGAAGAATTAACGTTTACTTCGCTGAAGAATTACATAGATTGTCAGAATGAAACCAATTTCCACAGTTTGTTATTTCTTCTCAGTAATAAACCTGTTAGTTATCAGGATTGAAGAATTTGAGTGTCAGATTTACTAAAGCGAAAGAGAGTATTAGACGGAACTTGAATGAATTTTCTCATCATGTCAAAACTACAAGCTCATTATTTGAATATATTTCAGATTACTATGAGGTTGACTATGAATCTGAGGGAAAATAGGTGTCTAACTTAATGATTGACTCAGATAGTAATCAGAGTTATTGCAGGTGCTATACGGGGTTATATTCGAATCGATAAATTCATGTGTAACGATTTTCAGAACCATTGCATATGGACTATAAAGATCAGATGCAGGAATTTACGGTTAGGTAATCTCTAGACAGAGTGTACAGGTATTCATTCTTCTTTTACATATATATGCTTTGTTTTGAACGATTTACCTATAAATGGCGAAAAAAGAATTATCGATGATAAGATGAGTGATCCAATTGCTAACATGACAACCAGTAGTAATTATCAGGATAATAGCCTTCTTCGTTCATATCAGCCAAGTGTTACTTAACTTTTTCATTTGGTCTGGTTCCTACATGTTAAAGGAACCTGTCAGTTAACACTCAAAGTCACTTGCTGTAGTCTTCTAAGCGCACGAACTTCACGAAGGCTAGAGATACTCCTGCAATGATTAGACGACAAGAATAGTCTGAGTGGATTTTCTCTTAGACCTTCTGATTTCTGGAAGCCTAGTATTAGCGCTGAAATATCTGCTGGTTTGGAAATACTATTTTCAGAGGATGCCACAACAAAAAATGCAATAGTTCTTAACAGTACATTATTTCATTACAAAATGTCACATGATAGAATCAATAATTAACTATTGATTGATTGGAAATAATCGATGTTCCGTATTAATCATACCGAGTTGTCTGAGATACATGTTTGTATGCATCACTAATCTACAGCCTTTTGGTAGAATATGTAAATGTGAATTTTAAAAAAGTCGACAAGTGAAAAATAGGTTGAACCATAATAGATCAGATCTTGTCAAATTAGAAAAATATAAGTGATATCCGCTTGCGTTTTCATTTCATCTTTGCTCTTAGAAAAATATGATATAAGCATACATTTGTCTGCTGTGATGAATATATATATATATATATATATATATATATATATATATATCCCCTTTTAAAATGCCTAGTTTATCCACATACTGAATCAAGTGTTACTTGTAAAAGGTTTCGAATTATTAATCTGCTCTGTTTTTAGACATTAAATTCATAAATTTACCTAAAGCGCCTACATTATTCTCACTATTATTAATACTTTTATAATTACTTTTATTGTCATCATAATTCAAATTTGTGAGATTATTGTTCAATGGGTTATCTGTGACTGTATTACTTCTATTGGACAGTAAATGATCATAGGTGAATTCGGGATTCGTAAAATATTGATAATTATGGTTGTTTAAATCACTGTCAGAGTATTCATCTGGTCTGTTTAAATTTTCGAAATCATTGAATTTTCTTTCTTCAGTAAATGTCATAGATTCAGGCCATTTATAATCATTTGAGTATGTTGTACTATTTGACATCTTAATTTTTGGTGGAACATAGTAATCTTGAGGTCGAAAATGATCTAAATTTGGTGCTTTTTTAATAAGCGGTAGTTTTGAGAATTCTTGTTGATAAGTTGTCTTATAATGGTGGTTATTCATTCTATTTTCAAATGTTGTATTACGAGAGGTAGGAATGCTGATTTTCGGTAAAATGTTCCTTGAGCTGATTGGTTTACTTTGAACTCTTTTATTGAGGTGAATATATTCATTCCTACCCTTACTTGAATTTGATTGATAAGGATCCACATAATCGATTGAATAACTTGTTTTTAAATTGTGATCGATCAGATTATTGATCTTTATGTTGTCTTGCTGTAGGATTGGCTGAAGTTTTGTTAGATTTTGCGTAGGCTTGTAGTCATTGGCATAAGACGTTGCCGTAGGGTGCATTTTTGTGTATCGTGAGTTAGGGGGACAGCTTTGATTTTCTTTGTGCTCCTTCGGAGGTGGGAGGTACTCAGTCTGATAACTCGTTTTATTGGCGAATGGTACACTTGGCTGTGTGTATTGATATAGGGGCTTTAAATTTTCTAATCTTTTCGCTTTGCGATACTGAAATTCCTCCGAATACGAACTGTTTTTTTCCATAGGTAATTTCGAGGTCTTCAGATCTGATTTAAGCAAGATAGGTTCTCGTTTCTTTGTATATATGGGTACATAGTCTTCTGCGTAAGATGACTGAGTTACAACTGGCAGACTTGGCGACCTGTATATTTCTATAGGTTTGTATGAAATCGATGGATCTGGTGTGAGTGAACGAAAATCGGTGAGGTATGAGGTTTGTTTAGGTACGGCTTCATCAATACACCATCTGTTTTCTTTTGGCTTGATAGGATGTACTCTTTGCGTATATCTAGGTTGAAACTCCTCCGTATAGCTGGTTGTCAAATCTCTATTCCCGTGAAACAGATGAAGATTATCCTTTGGATAATAGGGTTCACCTTTTGCGGCATGCCAAGGTCTATAATTTAAGCTATAAACAGTATTGTTCTCTATCTTCATTGTAGGCTTCCGATACTCGTATATAGGCTTAAAACTTTCACTTCTTGAGGCGTTATATGGCTGGAATTCTTCCGAGTAGCTTGTATTCTTATGAAATGGTACTTCAGGTTGTTGGTAGACATAATTTGGAGCATAAGACATTGGTTTGGACAGTAGATGAGAGGTATATTCCATTTGGTAACTTGTCTCATTGGACACTGGCTCTATGGGCACTCGGTATTCTCTATAAGGCTTGTAAGAGTGTACAGGTTCAGTCCACTTGAGTTCATAATCTTTACCGTAAGTGGTTTCATTCTGAAATCTACCCGTAGGAAAAGTTTCATGATCTTTCATCCTGAAGGGTACTTCTGTCGGCGACACAGGAGGACTTTGATATTCCGTCTGGTAGCTTGTCTTGTTTAACATTGGAACTAAAGGAGGTGTATAAATCTCAGTTGGCTTGAAACTTCTTGACACTTCAGGGTAACGTGGAGGATAGTCTATGCGGTAGGAAGTATTCGTAGCCATTGGTTGTTGTGGAGGGAAATAATATTCATGGGGTTTATAGTCACTCACTGTTTCTAGTTTGTAGGGTTGGTAAGCATTCTGGTAGGTGGACTCCAGTGAATCCTGATCATGGGGGAACTTCAGTTGAGAACGTGGCCTAACTGGATCTACTCCATGAGTATGATCATATGACGTATAGTTATCGGCATAACTCGGCAAAAAGGCATCAGTTTCTACTGGATTTAGATAATCATCATTTCCATCACTTCTGTTCAAAGCATCGTAATCGGACGTCAGTGGATTGTCTATCAAATCATCGTGATTATAAGTTGAATTTTCGGGATCATGATACACATTAGGATCATCTTCTGTTAGATTTGTATACTTTGTGTGTATCAGACTACTGGGAGGATCTAAATCCCATGATTTCACTGGCTCATCATTCAGAACAGGATTCTCACTGGTGACGGGATAAGAGTTATAATCACCCGTCTTTTGAAAGTCCTTGTACGCGTGTCCATTCTCATCAAGTATCGTATGTGTGATTATATCAGTGGGCATAGGAAACTGTATTGGTCAGTGTAGAGAAAGTGACTAATCAATTTCTGAAATAAATCCATAAGAACACACAACAATTTAAAAATCAGTGAATATTTTACACAGTTACTAGTGTTTAAAAATGTTACAAAAAATATAGTAGCTCAATGGTAACGTGCTGAACACGAAACCTGAATGCCCTGGGTTCGATCCCCGGTGGGGTCACGGGTGTGCACTGCTGAGGAGTCCCATGCTAGAACGAAGCAACTCTCCAGTGCTCCCAGGTTTCTAAGACATTGTTTCGTCTTTCTGAACTTTTTAACGTTGAGTTACTGTACACTACGTTGAATTAACCAACCAAGTGTTCATCTTGGACAACGGTTATTGTTTCTTAAAAATTTGGATTAACATTAGACATAATTTATAGTTTGATACCTGTAATTGACCGTTGCTATACACGGTCAGATTGCTTGACCTTTACTGGCAGATAAGGAATTATGGTCGTCAAACAACAACTGATACGTTGCACAAGCGGCGACTAGCATGCCCCAGTGGCTTAGTGGCGTTTGAAGCCTTGAGTACTGAGTTCAACGGCAGCAACACTACTCACTGGAGAGCAGTTGCATCCAGCTGACGAGTCCCAAATAGAACAAAACACGCCTTCTGGGTTCCACTGCTAGTCGTCAGGATGAATATAATTAGTTATATTTCACTTTCACAAGATGAGTTCAGATATGTCTGTTTTAAAGTTAAGTGCATAAATCATTTGCCCTTTAATAACACTTGTTCCTTCTTCACCGCATTGGATTGACTTCAACGTTCCGGCTGCTAAGTCGAACTATTAAGGATGTATTTGGAGTGCGGGTAAAAAGTATCTGCAAAAGCATATATATTGGCTTTTCTAATTTCCGCCAACAGAGTGAGTTACTTTGACTGAGAGCTGACTACTGACTGTATGGAAATACTTCTACTCTAATCGATCGTTCATTAGTACATAGTCTAGTAATGTTTTATTGATAAGAGTGTAGTCAGAGATAAATTCTGCAGATTACATATGCTGCGTAGCTAACATGCCAAGTGACCTAAACTGTGGCAAAATATATTTGGTGTAAGAAGATTCAAGGCAATAAATCAGATGTTTGGTTCTTATCAATACTCACCAACATGGCTCACCGTCTGCATCAGTCGTGCTGATATTCTCTTGGGGATAACAACCTGCAGGATTTAGCACTATGGACAGAGTGTCAGTAACAGGTCACAAATATACATGACTGCCAGGCACCAATAGAAATGAAACTTAAGTTTACAGCGTTTCCTATCAAGTCCATCTGATATAAACAGTTTGCTATGAACTATCAGTGATCGAATCCTAGTATGCGGTTAAAAAGCTTCAATAGATCTAGTTTGAATATAAATGTCTGTGAAGAATCATACTACTCATCATATTTCAACAACCAAGGGTTAGAAATCCCAATACCCAACCTTCAAATGAGAATCTTATGGACTGATGCAACATCCCTAGAAGCAGTGTTACACTAAGGTTATGCTACTACCAGAACAATCTATCCTAATCAACAAGACAGTTTCATGCATTGTGCTTACTCAGTGGTGTTACTAGGACGGAAATCCAATGCGTAACTGTGTATGTGTTTTGACCGTTGTCGAATACGTCAGCTGGATGCATCTATGTTAATTCCTATGCTTTCACTAAGATTCATGACAGTGATCAGTCAGTGTGTGTAATCTAGTCCTACAGGAAGTAAGTCACCTTGCTGACGAGTTTAAAAAAACATGAAACCTAGGTCGAGCACAGCCTCTTACCGACTACCTCTATCCTACTCGCATTCATGACATCACATATACAAATACTACCAGCTGGACCATTTGGCTACAGTGTTTACTTATTATGTAACTGGTATTATAAATCAGCATAGATTTTATGCAAATAGCAGCCGTGAAAACGAAACCTGAACTGTAGTCACTCTCTAGTTCTTTTTGTCATTCAAAACTAAACCGCAAAAAAGTGGTAGCACAAAAGCATGTCAGGTTGAAGGAGATAGTTGGTAGGCAGTAATCACTGTCCTCGGTATGCAATTCATCCCGTCATCCAAAGAACGCAGTGTGAACAGTCATCAGATTGTGGTTTGCAAACAACCAGTTAGCTGTTTTCAACAGAGGTTTGAGATTTTCCAACTTCTCCCTGAAAATGGTAACACTAAGATTATAATATTGACTGTTAATCTGCTACTCGCCTCTGAACCATGGCAATCAGAAATTTTTTTACTCCAAGTCAGTTATAAGGATGAAGAAGTCGGTTGGCTTTTTCTCTTTTACAAAACAAAAGTGGTGCTACATAATAATGGGATCCATGAGACATGTTTCGTCCTATCTGGGACTCATTAGCTGGACGTATCTTCTCTCCAGTGAGTAATGTTGTTCCCACAGAGACTCCAACCTAGTAGTCATTGTTTCAAAAGCCGAAGCGTTATCCACTGGGTCATCAATTCATGACAATCAAGAGCAACACCATAAAATAAATTGTGGTAATTTACATTTCGGTATATGTTTTAAATGTGCATGCACCACACAGTATGCCTCGAAATGCAGGCAAAACACTTCAACACCATCAAACTCATCTGGATTCGAGTGTTAAACATCACTACAAACTACACATAAAGGGGGGACTGAAAAATAGTCTCCCACTTTTTATCCTTTTTGAAGATATTTAATTCCCTTCTTTAAGTTAAGTCAGTAGTCAGAAGTCCCAGTTTTATTTCCATTCCCCCATCACTTTCATATATATTGACTTACATTTAGAACTGTTCACTTATGTACTCCGACCCCGTACAGGATCAAGATCAACCTTTTCAGTCTTTGTAGTAAACATGTTAGTGTTCCACAACTGATCAGGAACTCTATGGTCTAATTACTTTATCTCCAATCATTCTAAATAGGGTGTGACTGTTAAAATTATTACGTCTGTCGCGCGTAAAGTCAAGGTGCGCTCTGTTGGGAATTTTCTAAGGAGAATAAAACGACAGTCAAGTATACCCTGATTGCCGATACTTCTGTAGCGCAAGCTATTTATGTCAGTGATCAAAAGCATCTTCATAGCTGAATATTATAAGAATATGCTGTTCACTCTCAGTCTCACAATTCACTAATTCATTTGACGAAGCGAAAAACCGCTTACCAGTAAATAACAAAAGAAATTGGCCTTTTTCGGTATAACCAGGAAACAGCAGTGTAGTGAAATAAAATGTACTGGTGACATGAAAGCAATTTGGTAGAAGTTACTTGTTTCTTATGGTTACTGTTTTTTGGTCACTAAGGTCACATTGAGTAAGGTGGTTTAGGTAAACTTATCGCAGCTGCTTACTTCAGTATTGTCAAAATGAATTTTCATTAAGACATTTCAGGTTAGTACTATAAGTAAGAGTTTCTAGACAGATGAATAGGTTGTGCATATAAAATCTCTCTAGCATACTAAAATTTACTTTCATGATATGTATTGTAGAAGTGAGCAGTACTTCAGACTTCAGCATTCAAGATAAACTGTAACTGATAATATGTGAATTAATAACAGACCAGTACTCTGATAGGTGGACATTGTCTCCTTGCCAAATTATCGTAAAGAATATTTATCCTGTAACGTGGGTCGTGAATCTGTAGGTATGATAAATGGATTTTGGAGGAGAACTGAGTTATCATCATATTCAAGGTAAGAGCATCCAGATATCTGTTTGTCATTGAAGCAGCTAGACTACAAGACTCTAAGATGCATCAATGCGGGTTTAGAGATTATGATTTGGAATTCGATTATGGTTTAAGTAACAGTAACAAAATAGGGCATACTTTAGTAAAGACTGTTTCATTATGACTTCGAGTAAATACCGCTATACAAAATATGAGACGGAATAACACTGTTCCAAAATCGTAAGAAATTTATCTTTGCGAATCTAACTAGGACTTCATTTCTCTGCGGTAATCTTGGGACCACAGTGTCGAGTTACTACACGCACATCAGTCGTCGTTAGCGATATTTTCCTGAAGATTATTCACTAAACATATTAAATTAAAGTTTATGTCTTGTTTTCACTTATCGGCAAATCATAACTTCAGTTTCGGTGAAACCTGGTTTCCCCGGAAGTTTGGTATTTTACTTTAAACTAGTTCCTTTCAATAGTAGATTACATAAACAAATCGTCGGCTGGTGGTTATGCAAACAGAATTACCAATAACTTCCAGCCGGCATATTACATAGTATTATTGGTAAAAGTTGCAAAGCAAACGAGCAAGCCTACGATGTTAAGACTCAACTTCAGGAAATGCATCCAGTGATCTAAACAGTCACCATTATAGCGGTGATTTTGATTCATTATGTGCAATAGCAAATCTATCGAATCGTCACTGAAGAGCAGTAAATCTCATGTTGTCTAGCCCTGAGTGGTGACTGAATTCTATTGATCAGATAAGCATTTCTGAAGAGAGCCAACAAGAACGAAACCTAGGTCAAACAGGTTTTCCTGGTGATTACTTCTAACCAGTTAACGTCAATCAAAGCGCACCATCATGCTTGTCCTCCAGTGGCCAGTCAACGTATCTAATCCAGTCCTACAGGAGGTTAATAGTGGAGCTAATATCTCAGTGGTAACATGGCTGAATGCAACAGTGGCAGAAGCAGGTTCGAGTCTCAGACGGGACATCAGTTCTTTCGATGTTGCAGATACGTCTTTCTGACTAGTACCTACAGATCCGAAACCTAGGTCAAATATGGGTTTTTATCGATTGTCTGCAACGAAATAACACCCACTTAACAGCAGGTTTGCACAGTTCGGTGGACAGATTACAGACGGTACAATGGCTGTAACACAAAAACATTTATAGCATGGCTGGAATCGGTTAGTCAAGTGCAGAATGATTCAGCAGCAACGTCAAAGTTTGAAGTATAGAATTATATCCATTCAGGTTCCAACTTAAATACAGTGAAGGTTGCTTGGAACCTTCTTTTGGTAAGTGAGAATCGAGTGCCTAAATCTTTAGATTATAGCTCCGAAATTCTAACTAT